CAGTCCTCGACCAGGCCTCCACCCCCAGGAAGCAGCCCATGACAGCTGACTAACACCCAGGTACCTATACCTGCTAGGTAACAGGGGCATAGGGTGAAAGAAACTTTTGCCCATTGTTTCTCGCCGGCGCCCGGGATCGAACCCAGGACCACAGGATCACAAGTCCAGTGTGCTGTGAACTCAGCGGACCAGCTTTGCTGATGATGCTAAGATAATAGGGAAGATAAGAAACCTAGATGATTGTCATGGCCTTCAAGAAGACCTGGACAAAATAAGTATATGAAACAACACTTGACAAATGGAATTTAAATGAGAATAAATGCCATGTTATGGAATGTGGAATTGGAGAACATAGACCCCACACAACCTATAAATTATGTGAGAAATCTTTAAAGAATTCTGACAAAGAAAGGGATCTAGGGGTAGTTCTAGATAGAAAACTGTCACCTGAGAACCACATTAAGAGGAGCAAGAACAAGAGGAACATTGTGAGAGGAGCCTATGCTACACTTTCTAACTTCAGAATTGCTTTTAAATACATGGATGGAGAAATACTAAAGAAATTGTTCACGACTTTTGTTAGACCAAAGTTGGAATATGCAGCGGTTGTATGGTGCCCATATCTTAAGAAGCACATCAACAAACTGGAAAAGGTGCAACGACATGCCACTAAGTGACTCCCAGAACTGAAGGACAAGAGCTACGAGGAGAGGTTAGAGGCATTAAATATGCAAAAACTAGAAGATAGAAGAAAAAGAGGTGATATGATCACTTCGTTCAAAATAATAACAAGAATCGATAAAATTGATAGGGGAAGAATTCCTGAGACCTGGAACTTCAAGAACAAGAAGTCATAGATTGAAACTAACGAAACAAAGCTGGCGGAGAAATATAAGAAACTTCACTTTTGTAAACAGAGTGGTAGACGGTTGGAACAAGTTAGGTGAGAAGGTGGTGGAGGCCAAAACCGTCAGTAATTTCAAAGCATTATATGACAAAGAGTGCTGGGGAGACGGGACACCACTAGTGTGGCTCTCATCCTGTAACTACACTTAGGTAATTACACACACACACACACATACAGTACATATACTAAAATATTTATAATAACTTTTCATTAACAAAATAAAACAACCTGGATTGGGTTGACAGGATCCATAACATTGTATATAAATCCTTAATCCTCATCTTCAGCCTTATAATCATGTTTTAATCTTTTATGGTGTTAGAAAAGGCACTAATGCAGAAGGGGAGAATAAGCAGTAAATAGCTCGAGAAAAGAGACAGAGAAGAAGGTGGAGATAAGGTGAAGGAGGTGGAGATAAGAGGTTGGGGACGATCCAACTTCTGATGGGGGATGAAGCTGCAAGTGGAGCAAGGCCATTGGAGACAGGGGCAGAGAAGCCAAATGAGTCGCAAACGAGGCCTAGCCAAGTCTGAATCTGGGATGGAACTAACTGGGACTTCTGCCAGCTAACCACGAACCCGAACCTGGCAAGCTGGGAAAAAACCAGATCGCAGGCTAGCTGACATGCGGACTGATTGGGGACCTACACTGACCAGTTTTGAAGTAGGCCACCACGCAAACCCCTAAGAGTTTGTGTGTTAGTCGGGACACTACTGTGCATGCTCACCTGGTAAATACATGGGGGAGGCTAGATTCAATTCAAAGGGAAAAACCCTGAAGTGGTAAGCCTGATACTCCACAGTAAAACCTAGCCAGTTCATGAACCAGAGATATATAGCAATGTGCCAATACATATCCTGAAGGTCCAGGGACATCATCCAAGTTCTAGCCCGTAATAGCAGGTGAACTTAGGCCTAAGTGGTCATTCAGAAAGTCGGAACAGGAATGAAACTGTGCAATCCTGAAAGATCGAGGATGTACTGTAGGTCAGCAGAGGATTGCTTTATCGTAAAGATTGATTATTGCTTTAATCCTAAATCGCGGCTTTAGGATTGGGAACAACCAGAACGCCCACCTATCGGACAAGGTCACCTCAGGCCCGAGTCCAGCTAAAAAGCAATTACCCAATGCAGTTTCAGTAAGGAATTCTAATCCGAATGCCCCACCCCAAGACCGGGTAAGGACCAACAAATTAAACCAAAGGCCACAGGAAACAACCAGAAAAACACCACAAACCATGGGACCAGGGGCTGGCAAAATGAGCCAGTCCCCATTACCCCCCAACCCTATGGTGGCATCAAAGGGCGAACCACAAAGGGGTTGGCACACACCACGTGTGGGACTATCCTTCTGCGATGCATACTGTATAATTCAGTCATCCAAAGATCGCCAGACTGGATATTTGGGTTATTCAGCCAAAATTGCATCCAGATAACTTTCTGTCAAAACTTCACCATATCTGGACATAGGTCCCAATAACTGGAGATTTGGCCAAATAACCAAGATTGGCATCTGGAGACCTATGCCTACTAGAAAGCTCAAGGCCTTCAACCAGTGAGGCCTGAGCAGCTGGCCGTCAGCCGGGGACTAGAAAGTGTTAGCACTATCGCGCCCCGGGCATGCGTGCTGCCAACTTAGAGGTCACGCCCTCGGCATGCGGGCGAGAATGCGGGCAAGCGCGCGGCAACATTGAAATGTGTATACTCGTTTCAGTTTTCTCACCTTAATTCTCGTGTTACATCGTTCGTTTTGCTATCATTGTGTTCGCAATAGAATTCCCTACAGGTGTATATGCATATAATGTCCAAAAGCCTGTCATGACTCCCAACAGCAAAGCCTGAAGGCGGCAAAAGTTACCCGTGAGCGCACAAAATCAGTAAAATGTGTTTACTCGTTTCAGTTTTCTCACCTTAATTCTCGTGGTACGTCATTCGTTTTGGTATCATTGTGTTTGGAATTAAATTCCCTGCAGGTATGTATGCATATAATGTACAAAAGCCCGGCGTGATTCCCCGCAGGAAAGCCTAAATTTACCCGTAAACGAGTATCAATTGGCACACCACAACCTAATGTGTGTACTCGTTCAGTTTGATGACATCACTTTTCGTGTTACTTTTTCATTTTGGTATCTTGAGGTTATCTTGAGATGATTTCGGGGCTTTAGTGTCCCCGCAGCCCGGTCCTCGACCAGGCCTCCACCCCCAGGAAGCAGCCCGTGACAGCTGACTAACACCCAGGTACCTGTTTTACTGCTAGGTAACAGGGGCATAGGGTGAAAGAAACTCTGCCCATTGTTTCTCGCCGGCGCCCGGGATCGAACCCGGGCGCCGGGTTCGATCAGCATACTTTTGAATACTCACCCAGCAGCATACTTTCATTTTGGTGGGGGGGGGGGAGACGGAAGAGGGGGAAGGGGGGGGGGGAAGAGGGGGAAGGGGAAGGAAGGGGGGAGGAAGGGGGGAGGAAGGGGGGAGGAAGGGGGGAGGAAGGGGGGAGGAAGGGGGGGGGAGGGGGGGGGAAGGGGGGGGGGAAGGGGGGGGAAGAAGGGGAAAGGGGGGGGGGGAGGATTTAGGCAATGGCCCAACTTGGGGTCACACAGAGAATCAAGGCCCCAAGCATTTTTGTATGACATGTCCAAAACTCACCCTGCAGCATACAAGGAGCATACAAAACTCGCCCTGCAGCATACATGGAGCATACAAAACTCACCCTACAGCATACATGGAGCATACAAAACTCACCCTGCAGCATACATGAAGCATACAAAACTCACCCTGCAGCATACATGGAGCATACAAAACTCGCCCTGCAGCATACATGGAGCATACAAAACTCACCCTACAGCATACATGGAGCATACAAAACTCACCCTGCAGCATACATGAAGCATACAAAACTCACCCTGCAGCATACATGGAGCATACAAAACTCACCCTGCAGCATACATGGAGCATACAAAAGCTCACCCTGCAGCATACAAAAACTCACCCTGCAGCATACATGGAGCATACAAAACTCACCCTGCAGCATACATGGAGCATACAAAAACTCACCCTGCAGCATACATGGAGCATACAAAACTCACCCTGCAGCATACATGGAGCATACAAAACTCACCCAGCAGCATACATGGAATATACAAAACTCACCCTGCAGCATACATGGAGCATACAAAAACTCACCCTGCAGCATACAAAAACTCACCCTGCAGCATACAAAAACTCACCCTGCAGCATACAAAAACTCACCCTGCAGCATACAAAAACTCACCCTGCAGCATACAAAAACTCACCCTGCAGCATACAAAAACTTACCCTGCAGCATACAAAAACTCACCCTGCAGCATACAAAAACTCACCCTGCAGCATACAAAAACTCACCCTGCAGCATACAAAAACTCACCCTGCAGCATACAAAAACTCACCCTGCAGCATACAAAAACTCACCCTGCAGCATACAAAAACTCACCCTGCAGCATACAAAAACTCACCCTGCAGCATACAAAAACTCACCCTGCAGCATACAAAAACTCACCCTGCAGCATACAAAAACTCACCCTGCAGCATACAAAAACTCACCCTGCAGCATACAAAAACTTACCCTGCAGCATACAAAAACTCACCCTGCAGCATACAAAAACTCACCCTGCAGCATACAAAAACTCACCCTGCAGCATACAAAAACTCACCCTGCAGCATACATGGAGCATACAAAAACTCACCCTGCAGCATACATGGAGCATACAAAAACTCACCCTGCACCCTGCAGCATACAAAAACTCACCCTGCAGCATACAAAAACTCACCCTGCAGCATACAAAAACTCACCCTGCAGCATACAAAAACTCACCCTGCAGCATACAAAAACTCACTCTGCAGCATACAAAAACTCACCCTGCAGCATACAAAAACTCACCCTGCAGCATACAAAAACTCACCCTGCAGCATACAAAAACTCACCCTGCAGCATACAAAAACTCACCCTGCAGCATACAAAAACTTACCCTGCAGCATCTGTGCAATACAGAACTGAAATACAGCTCTTATTTTGCAAAGAGCATTTAAAAAAGATCATGATTAAATACCATACTTACCAGAGCTAAATAGGCATAGATGACACTTGGTATAACAGAATGATGATCCTTCAGTCGATCTACAAAAAAGGAAGATAAGAAGGACAGCTCTTGCATGGTAAGGTTATCAGCCGGTAAAGTATGAAGAAGATCGGCCAGAAGGCGGGTACCAGCTCCCCTTTCCGCTGGGTTAGTATGTGTCAGACTTGTGCCCAACCCTTCCACAACTTCGTGTAGTGATAACTCTCCAGTGGACATTCCTAAAATTATAAATACATTTAAAACATGTAATAACACACATGTAATATCAACATGAAAATAGAACACAAAATAGAACACGACACATTTGATATAAATGGGAAATGTTTAGATTACAAACGGCTAAATTTGGACTCAAGAAAGACCTAAGTAAATATTGGTTTGATAACTGAAGTGTTTCATGACGGGCAACATGATTAAAATTAATTTTTTCTAGCCTCCTTCAACAAGTGACAACTTCCTATTCAACTCCTTCTCTGGTATATACTGGACTGAAAAATAGTTGTTATAAGTATTTAACTATTACAGAATATCAGTATTATTCATCTTAGACCTATCCCTTAACTTGGGTCAAGACTTTAATACTACTGTGACTCTCAAGAAACTCATTAGAAAGTTAAAGGCACATGGTAATGGAGGGAAGGAGGAGGGTGACCCTAAGCTGGATTAGGGCTTGGTTATTTAAAACAATGACTGTTTACATGAATGGAGCTATGCTTGAGTGGGAACCATTATAAGTGAAGTGCCACAGCATTCTGGCCTAGGACCTCCGTTGGTTGCCACATGTATATAAATGATTTAGACCCAAGATTGAATAGCAACATTTACAAATTTGCAGAGATACAACAATAAGGTGGGAATAAATTCAGGTGACATTCGCTAAAGACAATCAAGATAGGCTTTTAAAGTAGATAACAATTTTAGATGCTATCAGTTTAACACTTTCGCTCACCCCGCACGCCACCCCTCAATAGTGCGATATGGGACCCAGGGTGTCACGGGAGCGCGCGTAAATTCTGAAAAGTGTATACTCTCTTCAACTTTGTCACCTTAATTCTCGTCCTACGAGATTAAATTTGGTATCATTGTGTTCGCAATAGAATTCTCTACAGCACTAAATGCATATAAACTCCAAAAGCCCGGCTAATTACCCGCAGCAAACAGAGAAAGAGCGAACGAGTTACCCAGGAGCGCGCAAACGCGATAAAATGTTTTCACTATTTTCACTCTGGTCACCTCAATTTTTGTCCTAGGTCTTTCATTTTGGTCTCAATGGGTTCGCAATAGAATTCTCTAGAGGAACATTAGCATATAAAATATAAAACCTGGTCACGCTCCAACCGCCGACGAGTTGAAGATGGGCCACGCGTTAGCCGCGAGTGAGCGCTCAGACGCCTTCCAGCTACACTCCCAATTCCCTCCCTTTTCAAGCCTTTCTTTCGCAATTTTCTTCCTGGAAGGGCCTTGTTCATGATCACTATCCATCGTGGAGTAAGGGTAGATAGTTTCTAAAGCCGCAGTAAGAAATATAGCCACGGAAAATAGCCGAAATGTTCACACGTTTGAGATGCGAGGGGAGGCGACATTGGTCACAACAGTGGAGCGAAAACAATGGGCCCACGGCATGTGCCAAGCCACCTGAGGGCCACGAGGCTCAACAAAGAAAATGGGAAGACATCGGCGCACATTTTAAAACCAGTCCCAAAAAAATCGGATAAAAACCTGATTTTTGGCGATTATTTAAAGTGGATGTCGTAATGCTGCGTCATCCCCGGTATTACCGCTAGTAAACGGATGACGCAATGCTGCGTCATGCCCGGGCGAAAGTGTTAAGGGGGCGTCTGGTTATAAAAATGCAAAAATGAAAACTCGTTCGATTTCAATCAAACTGTTTTGACAAGTTCTATATGAAAAGTGTTTCATCTAGTCCAAGTTTCAGCATCGTAGCATAAATAGGAAGGGAGAAAAAAAATATTGAAGTAGTTGTGAAAATTATGCCAAAATGGTCAAAATCGATTATCAATCAAAAGTGTCAACTGAAATCATAGCTATGACTCTTTGCTATCACAATAGCATATATTAAACAAATATTATAATTAGTTTAATTGAAAAAAAAAATTAAGAAAAAAAAAGTATTTTTTTTTATTTATTTTTTTTTTCGGGCGATTTGCATCTAACTTACACACCTGACTGTACGTAAGCCTATCTGTAAGGACGCCAATTTTGGAGAAAATTGGTTGATGTCAACCTCAGCCACAGATTTTGGAGCCTTAGACTTTATTCATTTTTTTTTTTTCAATTGACACAAACGTTTACAAAACTGATTCATTTTTTATTCAATATACATGAAACTTACACAGTATATGTGGAGGGCATGTCTCTACATTGTGGAGTTTACATTTTTCTCTAAGTTCATTTATTGATTTTATAATAGCAATAAACATGCCATATTTGCAAAAAAAATTTTGGGAACTTTGAACATTTGTATTAGGAAAACTAAAGATGTTTTGGAAATTCTATATGTCAAGGTCCTTTATTATATGCTAATGTGTCAAAAAAGTGTCACAGAATAATTATATCTGAAACGTGTGTTCTTTAGTGTGGACTTGAAAATGTGTAAAAAACATTGAAATAAAAAAAAAAATCTCCCTTTCTATTTACACTGCAGTACTGAAACTTGGGACAATTTCAGCACTTTCATATACAACTATTCAAATAATATTGGTTGACATTGAACAACTTTGACCTGACAAGCAGACGCCTCCTTAACCACTGTACAGCACCGAGAGCTTTAAGGCACCCAGTCAGGGGTGCGCAGTGCCAAATGGCACTTTTAGGTGCAGGGAACAATTCAAAACTCCTACGGGTACATGCGGCTCACATCCTGTGCCTCAGGACACCAGTCAACAGACGCCATCTTGGAAAAAAAAAAATCTTCAGCATCCATACTGGCTGTGAGAGCCTCAGTACTGAGAGAGCGACCAAGGCTGGCGCATGCAGCTCCAGCTCACGGCACAGCTGTACATGTCAGGGCCACAGCACCACTTAATTAATAATTACAAATAAAATAAGTACCGTAACTACAATTATATTGCATTGATAGTGTCACAGATGATCCTGACTGTTATAAAAATATGTTCAAGGTTCATATATCAGTGAACACAATGCTAGTTAAGATGTTCACAGCAGGAGGTAGATATTCATAGCACATAGCCAAGGTTTGTGAATCTAAGCATCATGCAAAGTGACCTCTTGCTCCTTTAGAAAGTAATCTTGCGGAAAATTATTCATATTCATGATTTCGTGACAGGAATCTGATAATAATAGCAGTGTTTGAAGTAATAATAGCGATATAAGTAGCATATTTCTGAGAACAGTATTTTGCTGCGTCAGGTGATGTCAGCTGCTGGAGTTAGTTGTTCATTATGGTATATAAAAACATAAGATTGGTGTACATGACGTGTGTATGTAGAGTAATAGCAGCAAAAGCACCGTTTCATTGATCTAAGAATATATGTGTCACTAGATATGAGCACCATATTTTTTAGCAGAGCGATGTTCCACACATTTGCTGTTTCGCTGGACATTGCACCTGCTGAACCATCTCCTCGGATCACCATTCCCTTTGATCCATTCAGCTGGCTCAGTTCTCCAACCAACTTACACTTCACTTCATTACATCCTCAACATCATTTTTACCATCAGACGATGTTGTCTCAAATGACTCACTCTCCAGAGTCAACGAGGTGGAACTTCCCACTTCAACTCTCCACTCTGCAGCAGCATCACAGGTGATAGGAACAGGCTTCTGGGAGGAGCTGTTACAATAATCTCCTGCTTCAGCAGTACATCCTGCCTGTTCCCTTTACCGCCTATTCACCAACATATCTGCATGCTTCAACATCAACGACAACAACAATACGTATTCAAACGTACTGGTGTCTAGACACACCTCCACCCCCCGTCCATCCTCCAGTATCCAACACACCACCACACCTGCTGTCTCAGCAGGGGACCAGACCCTACCCGCTAATGACCATTCTTCTGCCAGCCGATAGTTATACCTTCAGATTTACGCCAGCTCTGTTGTCATGCCATATATATATATATATATATATGGCATATATATATATATTAGTATATTTTGGTAGCAGTCTTTCCTGTAGACATATATTATTAAATATGACCAAAAAAGTAAGATTAATAATTCTAACACGAATTTTCTCAATCTTTCGTACATTTCTTTTCACTGTTGGAGGTAATTCAAAAATCAATTCTCCAAAAATTCATTTTTATTTCTAGTCTGACGCGACACTTGAGTGCGTTTCGTAAAACTTATTACATTTTCAAAGACTTTACACATACACAACTGAATGGAACTTACATATCTCCAATTTGTTTATATCTACTTTTGAGTGAGGTGGATGGGGTGAGGTGGTATTTAATAGGGTATTAATTTCATCAACACAAGACAGAACACGAAACAATGGGTATTGAATAGAAGTGATTGTAGAAAGCCTATTGGTCCATATTTCTTGATGCTTCTATATTGGAGCGGAGTCTTGAGGTGGGTAGAATATAGTTGTGCATTAATTGGCTGTTGATTGCTGGTGTTGACTTCTTAATGTGCAGTGCCTCGCAAACGTCAAGCCGTCTGCTATCGCTGTATCTATCGATGATTTCTGTGTTGTTTACTAGGATTTCTCTGGCGATGGTTTGGTTGTGGGAAGAGATTATATGTTCCTTAATGGAGCCCTGTTGCTTATGCATCGTTAAACGCCTAGAAAGAGATGTTGTTGTCTTGCCTATATACTGGGTTTTTTGGAGCTTACAGTCCCCAAGTGGGCATTTGAAGGCATAGACGACGTTGGTCTCTTTTAAAGCGTTCTGCTTTGTGTCTGGAGAGTTTCTCATGAGTAGGCTGGCCGTTTTTCTGGTTTTATAGTAAATCGTCAGTTGTATCCTCTGATTTTTGTCTGTAGGGATAACGTTTCTATTAACAATATCTTTCAGGACCCTTTCCTCCGTTTTATGAGCAGTGGAAAAGAAGTTCCTGTAAAATAGTCTAATAGGGGGTATAGGTGTTGTGTTAGTGAAACGCCATGCAACCTCTGAAGAGACAACTAACACAACACCTATACCCCCTATTAGACTATTTTACAGGAACTTCTTTTCCACAGCTATATATATATGTCGTACCTAGTAGCCAGAACGCACTTAT